CATTTACCTGGATAACACTATGGACCAATCTATCTAGAACTTTCAAATGATATGTGTTAAGCGAATCAAATTATGAGAAGTGAGTTATATTCTTATTGTAATTTATGAGTCATAAAAATTACAAGTTGGGGTGGCTATGGGGGGAGAATTCTACAAAATCCCAACCTTGTTATTATCATAAGTTTCAATACTGATCCCTTGTCTCTGTTCTTATAGTTAAGGAAGGAAATGGAGAAAGGGAAGCAAACTTATCAGGGCCTACACATGTCTCCGACCGATCACTGCTACCGCAGCGCAGAAGTGTCAACTGGTGGATTAGAATCGCCATTTACTCGTTCCTTGTCATTGCCGGCCAGTCAATTGCAACATTCTTGGGAAGACAGTACTATGACAAAGGCGCCAAAAGTAAATGGATGGCAACAGTAGTACAACTTTGTGGCTTTCCAATCATGCTTCCCTACTATTGCATCCCAGCAAGCAGAAATAATCCAATCCCAAAAGATAGTCCTATCCCATCAAAATCACCGTCTACCAAAATTCTCGCATCAGTATATGTCTCTCTTGGCATCCTAATAGCCCTAGACTGCTACTTGTATTCCGTAGGACTATCTTACCTTCCTGTATCTACTTTTACCCTCATTTGTGCATCTCAATTGGCCTTCAACGCGTTTTTCTCCTTCTTCCTCAACGCGCAAAAGTTCACTTCTTACATTGTCAATTCTCTAGTTCTCCTCACCATCTCCTCCACCCTCCTTGTGTTCCAAGGTGAAGACGACTCTGGAGACGATGATCCAAGTGGAGGATTGAAGGCAAAGTATGCAATTGGGTTCATATGCACCTTAGGGGCATCAGCCGGAGCCGGATTATTGCTTTCCCTAACTCAGCTTGCCTTCAGAAGGGTTATAAAACAGGGGACGTTTAGAGCGGTCATGGACCTGATAGTGTGTGAAAATATGGTCGCAACCTGTGTTACCGCCGTCGGACTTTTTGCTAGCGGAGAGTGGAAGCATTTGAACGGTGAGATGGAGGGGTATAAATTAGGGAAGATATCCTATGTGATGAATGTGACTTGGACAGCAATAACATGGCAGCTTTTTTCAGTTGGAACGGTAGGCTTGATTTTGGAGGCCTCTTCCCTCTTCTCCAATTCCATAAGTGCTTTGGGTTTGCCTGCTGTTCCAGTTTTAGCTGTGATCTTCTTCCATGAAAAAATGAGTGGAATTAAGGGAATAGCCATGGTTTTGGGTATTTGGGGATTTGTTTCCTACGCGTATCATCACTACATCGAAGATCGTAAGTCCAAGGCGGAGAATAGAAATTCCAGGAACGTTGAAGTTCCGAAAGCTTTAAATGATTGAAAAAAGAGATCTGTTTGTAGCAAGGTTCTGAAAAACGCTAGGCACTAGTCGGGCGGCGGGCTAGTGCTTAGGAGGCTAGCGGGGTCTAGGCGGATTTAGTTAAATTTCTTGTATATCTTGCAAATAAATGCATATTAACACTTACATGAAATCCATAGATAAGATAATAAAGAAGGGATCTTTTGATATAGGCGCCTCAATTTTGAATTTTCTAGATCAAACATTCATGCATTTTAGTGATTTGATTAAACTTGTTTTTGTCATAATTTTGGTGCTATATGCACATTATATTGTATCAAATTTCCTATAATCTAGCATTTTGATTACACTATCATCCGATAGAGATAATTGTAAAAAATAAAAATAAAAAGTTGGTTAGGTTCAATTTATTTTCACAATAATGCTACAATTTAGCAATAATTATCTACAATTTAAGATATTTTCTTTGCAAAATAGTTTAAAATATTTTTAAATCCCCCAAAATCAAACGTACCGAAATAAGTTTTTCTTTTAGTATGTTAAGAGAAAATAGGATTGAGAATAATAGAAACGTACCAATACACAATGTGTACAAAATAAAACGTACCAAAATAAAAATAATGTACTAATATTAACAATATGTATCAAATCAAACGTACCAAAATTGCAAATAAGCGTACCAATTAATGATTTTTTTTAAATTCAAACATACACACAGATAATATATACGTAATGTATTGTACATAATAGTAATTTGTCAACAACTATATTTATATAAGTCCAATTTTTTGAGCCAATAGTAGGAATAGTCCAATTTATTAAAAGAAGTTTTAAATTTAATTATTTTTATTATCAATAATTATCTCTTTAACGATAAGATTTATTATAAAAATCAAATTTCTTCCTAATTATCTCTTTGATTATTTCTTTTTATGTATTTTTTGTTCTTTTTTGTTTTTCCTCTTGCTTTACACCTCATTCATAGATTTTATTTTTAATTTTTATAATCAACCTATATCACAAGTTAATTAATTTATCTACCTATATAATAGATTTTTTATAATAAACTAAGATTAATGTGTCTTGCTTGTAGGTATCTATGTTTTTTCTACCTTTTAGTTAGGTTTCATATCTTGCTTATAGGTATAATATTCATTCATATATTTGTTACTTGAGTTAAGGTAGAATGTTTTACAGATAGATTTATGTTAGTATATTATTTTTTTTGTTATAAGATATTAATTATATTTTTTGGAGTTGAAAAATGCATAATATTAGAATATTTTAATTGATTTTAATATTTTTAGACAAAAATATAAAATGAGTATAAAAGAAATAAAAACATGTAATTAGATAACTGGACTCACTCCTAAAAACCATTTATGTTTTTGGACCTAGATCTAAAAGCCCCTTAAAAAACAGCAAAAAAATATAATTTCACAAAAAAAATTGAAAAAATTACACAAAGCTTTTATGTTGATCACCAACTATTTGAAAACCAAAAAACCATTTGGAAAAAGAAATAATATTAAATGTTAGCGTAACAAAAAAAAACTGTGATCGAAAAACATATTTGGAAGAAGAGAAAATATAGTTTAATTACTAATATTTCCACTAAATAAGGAAAAATGCATCATGCAGATAAAAGGATAAATTCAAAAATTATTTTAATTTTAAAAAATAGAGGTGACTATTGGTCAAAGCACTTTAATCAAATTTTAAAAAGGCACATATATTTAATCTAAATGATATAAAAAAAACGGTACAGGATTCTAATTTTCCGATAAAGGAATGATAAAATACAAAAAGAGTATCCAACAAGTCCAAAATTTAAAAACACATTAAGCATATATACCACATAACCATAGTGAGGTAGGGGTGGGCAAATGGGCAGTGGAACCGCGGGTCGGGGCGGTTCCAATTTTTTTGGAGAGTAAACGGGGTGGGGCGGGGCGGGGCTGGGATATGGCAATTAAGGTTCGGGCCCGAGTCCAAATATTGAGAAGAACGGGCCCTCAAACCGGCCCATTTCTTAGTCCATTATCTAGGATCTCATCCCCCAGTCTGTAACTCAGACTCTTTCTCGTCACCTCCCACCCACAGACTCTCTGTCACTCGTCTTCTCCTCCTCGACCTCGACGACATCAAACTCAGAACCGGCGCTGCTGTTTCACCATCTATCTCTCGTTCTGGGGAAGGAGGCCGATGTGGGAGTGAAAGAGAGGGACGGAGTCGGTGATCTCGATGACGTCGTTCTGGGGGGAGACGCGGCCGAGGAGGATGCCGTTGACGACAGATATCTTGTGCTTGAAAGTGTGGAGCACCAGCTTTATGTAGGCATTTTGTGCGACCTCGACGACATCAAACTCAGAACCGTCGCCACCGTCGCCCTACCTATCTCTCGATTCTCCTCCTCAACGAAGACCCCCATCATCAGCACCTCAAGATGGTCAAACACCACCATCGTCAGCGCCATGCGAATCGAAGTCGACCACTATGCCCTCTGTTCTTAGTCTTCCTGTGTCTCCTCTCAGATCTTAATTTTTTGCAAGATTGAGCATCTAGCCCATCTGGGTTTTCATTAATCTGCAGGTACCGTATGGTGGGAAATATGAGATGGGTTTTTTTTTTCTTCTTTTTTTTTGAATTTGTTGTGGAGTTTAGACTTTAGTCTCATCCTTCTTCGATTTTGTTTCTAATGTTTAGATTAAGGAAAAATTGAAGGAAAATGTCTCTTGCATGTTGTTATTTGTGTAGGGATCCTGTAATCAAAGGGTATAAACCCAGATCCCTTTTGTTGATTTTGAAAAGGAACTAGAGACAAAGTGATTGATTTTGTTGATTTCGGATAAATGGTGCCATGATTTTATATGTATGGATCCACAATGGGAAGTACATACAAGGCGGTGATGGAATTCGGGTTTATCATGACGGTGAAGCGGCTGAAGGACTCGAGGTGGTACCTGAGGATGGAGGAGACGTGGACTTGCTAGGAAGCTGACGCACCCACACTTGGACCTGTGGGGACCTGTAGGACCGGCCCGTTTCAAAAGGGTCGGGTAGGTCCGGATCCCATTTTGAAAAATCCAAAACCCGCCCTACCCCGCCTCGTTTTATTTATAAATGGGTCCGGTCCGGTTCCTTCAATTTTGAGCCCAGCCCGGCCCGTGCCCACCCCTATAGTGAGGAGTATTGTAAGATGACACATGTACATTAGATTTTTTTTTTAAATTTCAAAAAACAAAAAAAAAACCACCTAGCCCGCCTAGAGCCCAGCCGATTTTTCCAACCAATTTGCAAGAAAACACCTCGGGTCGCCACCGCCTAAGCCGTTTTTTAGAACACTGGTTTGTAGATCATCTCTGGTTTTATATGCAAAAGAACAGAATTACAAGCTTTCCAATTGCCCTGATGAAAGGCAACAACCCCACATCATAGGTAAGTCGATTTCTATATGTGCACAAAGATTTTATAGTTTTCATGTTTTTATATGGCTTCTCTGCATAAAATCGGAAACTCATTCCGATGTATTAACTCTGTAGCGGTAGAATTACAGCACATATCTGCAATGGAGGAACCTGAACGGCTATATAATATCTCATACATTAAATGATAGATTGCATGCAACAGAAATTGTAAACAGCACATTATGTTGAAAAGACAAAGAAAAAACACCGAATAGTTGACAGATCGATCATATTCGTATGCAACTAAAAGAAAATTTGTGATTTTACTGATGAACTAAATCATAGATGAAGCTACCTCCATGGTAATCCAAATATGTGTTTCATACCAGCTGAAGAAGCTGAAGAAGATAATACACTTGAGTTTAAGAAAATCTCCCAACAAGCAACAATTTCTCAGCCCAGAGATTTTACCCGGTGGGTGCGCATCACCATCTCTATGCTATTCATTGGATTGATTTTTGACGTGTCATTCTTTATTCTCCAATGTCATGAGTGCTTCCGGCTTGCCCTTCATTCCAGTTCTAGCTGTAACTAATATTCTTCAACGATAACAAAAGGAGAAGGATAGAGAAATTAAAAGGTAAAGATACAAAGCCTAGTTTCGATAAACCAAAATGCGATCACTGTTAAATTATCTAGCATACAAGATTACAAGTTGAACCCAGTAATGCATAACTTTTGATCTCAGGTATGCCCTAAAAAGTACTATAAATTTCGACAATCTTTACACTTTCCTCATCGATGCAATGATATCAGTCTCTTCTTCAATTAGTAAGAAGCTAAAATGTTGGCAACTATGGTCGACGAAACAAAATAAACTGTAGAAGTTAAAACCTTGAGAAACGCACATTACATTGCGAAAAGTTGGACGTTAGAGCATGTATAGCAGCAGCAGAATCGGATCAACTACATGAGACAACCAACATAGTGAGCTCGGGGATATTTCTTCTGTAGCTGAGGCCACTGGACAAAGAATTGATCCGCTATCCGTAACTTGTAAAGAAGCAAGCCGCTCAGGGAGAGCCTCTGCACTCTTGCTATACTCTCAACATAAAACACAGACGACCATCGAATCCCCACAACCTGCACATATCGAAAAGGTCCCGAAATTCATAACAGAACAAAATGGCAAAAGACTTAACAAAGAAAAATGACAACAGATTCAAAATGGTCAATCCAAACCTCGAATATGAATGCAATTACACAAAGTGGAACACAAGTCCCAGGCCCATTGCACAGAATCTGCAACACCAACAGCACTGATCATCGACAATTTAATCTCCAATGTCTCATATCAACTGAAACAAATAGCGAAAATGCGAAAATTCGAAAAGGCGAAAAGATTACCACTTGGGGTCGGATTCTGATCATTAGCCAGAGCCCATGAGCCAAAGCAATCAAAGTGGTCAAAACAGAGGTGAAATAAGACTGACCCACTTCCCTACTACGGTAGATCTGCATGAACTGCGAGCTCGAACTCTCATCGGCGTTCTCTTCCAGTAGGCGAGCTTTCTGGAGGCTCATGTTATCAGTGGCGGCGGCGATGTAGAACCTAGGGGCAAATCTGTCTCTTTGAAGGACGGACAAGAGGTTGATCATCTCCGCCGTGTGGCCTCCAGAGCCCAAGACGATTAGGGTGCTGAGGGGTTGGGGAGCTGAGCCTTTCGAGCTGCTGGGTTTGGGGGGTTTGTGGGGTTTGCCGGTTAAGTGCAATACGTAGAGCAGGCGAGTGACGATCAGCGTTGCGGCGGCGATCAGAAGAGTGATTGCAACGGCACAGCCCATGATTGGGGAATCGAAAGGCTTTTGTTTCCGGCAAAGGTGAGGACTTATGGGAAAATGAAAGCGACTCTCAGATGAAAATGAAGAAACAAAGGGAATTTTCGGTTTATTCCCGTCAAAATATATAGGCTTTTTATATTAGCACCCCACAAAATGTTGGATGCATCCCACATTAAAAATTAATATTAATGACTTATTTACTCCACTATGCAATGACAATTTTGACCTTATTAGGTTTAAAAATTAATAAAAAATTTATAAATACACCCCAAATCATTTTTAACGTATTATTTATCTACTTCAACTATCAAAAACCCCTCCCACCCTCCATTGTTGAATAAAACCATAAGCAATGAAACTACAAACATGTTGATTGAGAAAAATTATTTTTGACGAATGAAACACAAAATCATGAATCCAGAACGAAATCGCGCTAAAGCTAGGGCGTCACCCGTAAGTGGCGCGCTGTGTGGCCCGAGCACAGTGATAAATGAGCAAGGGTCGCTGTATCTCCATCGGCACCCGGATGCAGTGTTAAATGAGCAAGGGGCTATAGAAACTTCTTTTCGAACGACTCCACTCAAAGTTGTTTGGGAGCATATGCTCCTATCAACTTTACACGGGACACACAAAAGAAGTACTTTGATCCTATTAGACGGGGAAGGGTGAAGAAGTTAGGACAGAAGGGTAGAGTTCAAGAGAGCAAAATGCGTTTAGGAACGTGGAATATAGGAACCTTGACGGGAAAATCTATGGAAGTAGTAGAAGTTATGGTGAGGAGAATGATAAATATTATGTGCCTACAAGAAACTAAGTGGGTTGGGCGTAAGGCAAAGGATCTAGAAAACTCAGGGTTTAAACTATGGTATTCGGGCACAAATAGAACGAGAAACGGTGTTGGCATCATCGTGGACAAGACCTTGACACAAGATGTTGTAGATGTCAAGAGGGTAGGAGATAGAATCATGGCAATCAAGATTGTAATAGGACAAGAACTTATCAATGTGATTAGTGCGTACGCACCTCAAGTAGGGTTGGATACGAGTTCGAAGGAGAAATTTTGGGAAGACCTTGGAGACTTGGTGCAAGGAATTGCTCAGACGGAGAAGTTATTTATAGGAGGAGATTTAAATGGACACGTGGGCAGGGAGACAGGCAACTATGGAGGTTTTCATGGTGGCCATGGTTTTGGAGAGAGAAACGAGGATGGGGAAGCTATCTTGGATTTTGCAATGGCATATGATCTCTTCTTAGCCAACACCTTCTTTAAGAAGAGAGAAGAACATGTGATCACCTACAAGAATGGGTCGTCAAAAACACAAATAGATTTTCTTCTAATGAGGAAAGGGGATCGTATAACTTGTAAGGATTGCAAAGTTATACCAGGAGAGAGCGTGGCTAATCAACATCGCTTGTTGGTGATGGATGTACATATCAAAACGAGTGAGAAAAAAAGAACAAGACTTGGAAGTGCCCAAGGACTAGATGGTGGAATCTAAAAGAAGAAAAACAAGCCATTTTCAAAGAGAAAGTAATCACCCAGTGTGTGTGGGATAGAGAGGGGGAAGCTAACCAAATGTGGGATTCCATGGCTAGTTGTATCCGAAAAGTAGCTAAAGAGGTATTAGGAGAGTCCAAGGGCTTTGCCCCACACCAAAAGGAATCTTGGTGGTGGAATGAGGAGGTACAAACAAAGGTGAAGGCTAAGAAGGAATGTTGTAAAGCCTTATACAAGGATAGGACCGATGAAAATGGTGAAAGGTATAGAAAAGCGAAGCAAGAGGCGAAGAAAGCTGTGAGAGAGAAGCTAAGTTAGCGGCTTATGACGATATGTATAAGCGACTAGATACCAAAGAAGGAGAGTTGGATATCTATAAACTAGCTAGAGCAAGGGAAAAGAAGACAAGGGACCTAAACCAAGTGAGGTGCATCAAGGATGAGGATGGAAAAAGTTCTTGCTACAGAGAACGCGGTTAAAGACAGATGGAAAGGTTATTTTCATAATCTTTTCAATGAAGGACATGAAAGGAGTGCTTCTTTAGGGGAGTTGAGTAACTCAGAAGAGTGTAGAAACTACTCTTTTTTATCGTAGAATCCGGAAGGAAGAAGTGGTTGTAGCTTTGAAGAAGATGAAGCATAGAAAAGCAGTAGGCCCAGACGATATACCAATCGAAGTGTGGAAAGTTTTGGGAGAGACAGGTATAACATGGCTCACTGACCTTTTCAATAGGATTTTGAAAACGAAGAAGATGCCAAATGAGTGGCGAACGAGCACTTTGGTGCCTATCTACAAGAATAAGGGCGATGTACAAAATTGCATGAACTATAGGGGTATTAAGCTAATGAGTCATACAATGAAGCTCTGGGAGAGAGAGTCATTGAGCATAGATTGAGGCAAGAGACACGGGTTTCGGACACAACCAATTCGGGTTCATCATGCCAGGGCGCTCAACCATGGAGGCAATCTATCTCTTACGAAGATTGATGGAAAGATATAGAGATGGGAAAAAGGATTTACACATGGTCTTTATAGATTTGGAAAAAGCGTATGATAGGGTCCCAAGAGACATTCTTTGGAGGATTTTAGAGAAGAAAGGAGTACGAGTAGCATATATCCAAGCTATACAGGATATGTATGAAGGAGCAAAGACTGCCGTAAGAACTCATGAAGGACAAACCGAAAGCTTTCCCATAACTGTAGGATTACATCAAGGCTCATCCTTAAGTCCTTACCTTTTTGCGTTGGTAATGGATGAGTTAACAGGACATATTCAAGATGATATTCCTTGGTGTATGCTTTTCGCAGACGATATAGTGTTGATAGATGAAACTCAGGAAGGGGTAAATGCAAAGCTTAACCTTTGGAGAGAAGTGTTGGAATCTAAAGGTCTTCGCCTAAGCCGATCAAAGACAGAAGAATATATGGAGTGCAAGTTCAGTGCAAATGGAGGCCAAAACGAGTTAGGGGTGAGGATCGGAGATCAAGAAATACCAAAGAGCGACCGTTTTCGTTACCTAGGATCTATCTTGCAAAAGAACGGAGAATTAGATGGAGATCTCAACCATAGAATACAAGCTGGATGGATGAAGTGGAAGAGTGCATCCGGCGTGTTGTGTGACCGCCGTATGCCACTGAAGCTCAAGGGAAAATTTTATAGGACGGCAATAAGGCCGGCGATGCTGTATGGCACAGAATGTTGGGCGGTGAAGCATCAACACGTACACAAAATGGGTGTAGCGGAGATGAGGATGCTTCGTTGGATGTGTGGGCACACGAGAAAGGATAAGATTAGGAATGAGGATATCCGGGGTAAAGTAGGAGTAGCCGAAATTGAAGGAAAGATGAGAGAAAATCGGTTACGGTGGTTTGGACATGTGCAAAGAAGGCCTACTGACGCTCCGATTAGAAGATGCGACTATGGGACAGAGGTTCAGGGCCGAAGGGGTAGAGGAAGACCTAGGAAAACTTTGGAAGAGACCCTAAGAAAAGACTTAGAGTACTTGGATCTAACGGAGGACATGACACAGGACAGAACACAATGGCGTTCTAAGATTCATATAGCCGATCCCACTCAGTGACTTGGATTTTCCAAGTCTCCAACCGAGAAGTTTTCCTCACTCGGGAAATTAAGGGAACACTACCTCAACCTACATGCTCCACTCACAAAGCTTCAACATACAAGCTTCAACAAAAGAAAATTCAAAGAACTTAGCGAAGAAGGCTTTGGTGTATTTAACACAATACGTTGAAATGAAGGAAAGCTTATTTATTGATATCCCCGATAAGTTACAAATATGTACATATACTTGAGTCAAAATAAACAAACAAGAGGGAGCCTTCACAAAGGTTGCTTAGGAGAAGTCTCAGCAGTCGGTAGAGCCCCAGAAAGAGAAGGCACCGGAGGGGGATCATTTCGGAGCCTCAGTACTGGACAGAACCCTAGAAGGAGGAGGCATCAGAGGTTGATCATTTGGAGCTTCATTACGCGGTACAGCCCCAGAAGACGAAGGCAATAAATGCCTTTGGAACAAACCCACAAATCTCTGATGATCAAGTAAAACCTGACCATCAGATTCCTTCATCTGGTCAAGCTTCCTCTTCATGTTTGTAGCATAGTCATGTGCGAGCCGGTGCAACTGTTTATTCTCATGCTTGAGCCCTCTAATCTCCTGTTTGAGACTCATCACTTCAGCCGCCAATGATTCAACTTGGCGGGTTCGAGCAAATAGGCGTTGGGCCATATTAGACACAGAACCTGCACACTGAACACTGAGAGCCAGAGAATCCTTAACAGCCAACTCATCAGACCGTTTGGAAAGTAGTCTGTTATCTTTGGGAGTGAGAAGGTTCCTGGCCACCACCGCAGCGGTCATATCATTCTTCATCACGGAATCCCCAACGGTAAGAGGACCAGTAGGGGAGACGAAGGATGGGCGCCATATGTTGTCTGGAGAAGGCGGGGCTGCCTCTTCAACAAGGTTCAAGTCAAAACGACGGTCGGAGGGGCCAGACATTTTCAAAGGTGTTGAAGAGAGAAGAGGTCGGACAAATCAAGATCTTAGAAGTGCAAGAATGGAAGCTTCTACTGGTGGAGATTCAAGTGTGCTTTGGAACTTAATGCCAGCCCCTATAAAAATCTGCACTCGACGGAAGCTTCAGAAATCGAAGAGGCGCCTGCTCAGAAATCGAAGAGGCGTTTGCTTTCTCAAAAGCTGGGCTGCTCAGAGACCACGAGGGTCGATCTCAGAAATCGAAGAGGCGTTTGCTTTCTCAAAAGCTGGGCTGCTCAAAGACCACGAAGGCCGATCTCAGAAATCGAAGAGGCTTGCTTTCTCAAAAGCTGGGCTGCTCAGAGACCACGAGGGCCGATCTCAGAAATCGAAGAGGCACCTACTTTTTCCAGCCTTGTCAGCACCTGTCACACGCACACTCAGCTTTGCGGAAATTATGGGCATTCTGTCGAAGATTTCTGGCGAAGTAGAAAAGCACATGAATCTTACTGTTCAATCACCCACTTCCCACACGCAACAGTAGCTCATGGGTACCACAGATAACTTGCCAAAGTTCTCTGACAAAGTTCTCTGACAAAGTTGAGACACGTGAAGCT